CCACTCGTATCTAGCCCTAATTGACTCAATAATATCAAATATTACTAAAGAAATCAATAACAATGCAAAAAATTAGGATTTTCAAATTTTCCCTCAAAAAGTCACAAATTGACCCCGAGTCCGCTGGGTCAAAACCCAAGGTTCGGACCAAAATCTATTTATCCATTCATCCCCAAGCCCGATTATGTAATTTGTTTCGAAATCCGACTTCAATTTGAGGTCTAAATTCTAATTTTACAAAAATTCCTTGTTCTACCCATACCCTCAATTTCTACCATGAAAAATCTTAGATTTCAGGTGAAAATCTTATGAAATGTAATGGGTAATTGAAAAAAAGTAGGTTAGAATCACTTACCAACAAATTGGGGAAGAAAAACTCTTGGGAAAATCGCCTCTAGAGTTTTCAGCTTTGAAATTTTGACAAGAATGGGAAAAATCCCGCAATTGGTCTATTTTAACCACTGGGCGTTAGGCCTTCTTCGCGTTCACGAAGGGCCTGACGCAATCGCGGAAGGTAGCTGATAAATGACCTACGCGTTCACGAGACCTCACGTGTTCGCGAAGGTTGTTCCCCTAGGCCTCCGCATTCGCGGGCCAATGCTGGCGTTCGCGTAGAGTAAGTCAGTTTTCCCCTCCCCCAGGTCCCTTAAGTTATGCGTTCGCGATACACTGTCCGCGTTCGTGAAGGGAAGCCCCCCCTCCACTTTGCATTCGCATAAAGTCCTTCGCGTTCGCATAGAGTAAAATCTCCCCTGCCCAGTTCCCTCTTCGCGATCGCGATGATGGCTTTGCGATCGCGAAGTACATTACACCCGACACTAGCTGAAGTCCAAAAACCAAATTTTCTAAGTCTAAAACCATCCGTAGCCTAACCAATCATGCACACAAGTCCAAAAACCTCATACGAACTCGCTCGCCTGATCAAAATACCAAAATAACGCCTAAAACTACTAATCGGACACCAAATCAAATGAAATTTTCAAGAAAACTTTAAAACTTCTATTTTAACATCCGAACGTCCGAATCACGTCAAACCAACTCCGTTTCTCACCAAATTTGACAGACAAGCCATAAATATAGTATTGGACTTGTACTGGGCTTCAAAACCAAAATGTGGACCCGGTATCAACAAAATCAAACATCGATCAATTCTTAAAATTCATTAAACCTTTAAACTTTTAATTTTCGACAAAAATTAATAACTCGAGTTAGGGACCTCCGAATTCGATTCCGGACATACGCCCAGGTCTCAAATCACGATACGGACCCACCGGGACCGCCAAAATACGAATTTGAGTCCTTTTGCTCAAAATGTTGATCGAAGTCAACTCAAATGGGTTTTTGAAGCAAAATTTTATATTTTATCAGTTTTTAACATAAGAGCCTTCCGAAAAAATACCCGGATTGTGCATGCAAACCGAAAAATGCTAAAATAAGGTATTTGAGACTCCAAACACAAGATTAGGTTCTAAAACTCTAGATGACCTATTGAGTCATCACACGAAAAGAGTAATTTTATAACTTATTTTTTCATATTTGGTTGGTGAGTAAAAAGCTTTTTTTCGGAAAATATTTTCTAGTGTTTGTTTAGGAAGTAGAAAATATTTTTAGAAAAATAATATTTTATGCTACTTTCCTTACCCTCTTCCCCCAAATCCACATATTTCTTGTGCTCCCCCTCCCCTCTCCCCCCCAAACTCTAAATACCCTACATTTTCAGGACTCTATTTTCTTCAAGAATTTAATTATTCTTTTAAAAATTCACACAAACCTAAAAGGGACTAATGTGTTGATTTACTTTTCACTCAAAAATAACATCGAAATTTGTGCTACATAACTAAAAAGAAGATACTCTTTTTTTGGTTGAAAAAGAAAGTACTTTTTCTACAACATGAAAAAGTATCCATTTTATTAAAATAAAAGAAAATACTTTTTTCATATCATGAAAAGAAAATACTTGTTTTGTTGAAATAAAAAAGTACTTTTTACCACATTATTTTGTTGAAACGAAAGAAAATACTTTTTCTATATCATAAAATAAAGTATTTTTTTTGTTGAAATAAATGAAAATACTTTTTTACATCATGAAAAGAAAATACTCGTTTTGTTGAAATCAAAGAAAATACGTCTTTTACAACATAAAAAGAAAGTACTTTTTTTGTTGAAATAAAAGACGATACTTTTTACTACATCATTTTGTTGAAATGACTTCTGAATGAAGAGAGCGACGAAAACATCATGCTAAGGGATTTGGGGCACTCCGAGAATCATCAAGACTTTAGGTTCTGTGGGCGTATTGAGGTGGAGGAGGTCGTGGGAGTAATGCGTAAGATGAGCCCGGGCAAAACGACTGGACCAGACGAGATTCCAGTAAAATTTTGGAGGTATGTGGGTAGAGCAGACTTGGAGTGGATGACTGAGCTATTTAATATTATTTTCAGGACGAAGAAGATGTCATATAAGTGGAGGTGGAGTACGATGATCCCGCTGTACAAAAACAAAGGGGATATCCAAAATTGTAACAACTATAGGGGTATTAAGTTACTAAGTCATACCATGAAAGTTTGGGAGAGGGTGGTAGAAGGAAGGGCAAGGAGGGTGGTGTCTATATCAGAAAACCAGTTCGGGTTCATGCCGGGTCATTTTACTACAGAAGTTATCCACCTTATCAGGAGGTTGGTGGAACAGTGTAGAGATAAGAAGAGAGATTTGCACATGATATTTATTGATCTATAGAAGGCATATGACAAGGTCCTTAGGGACGTGCTTTGGAGATGCCTGGAGGTGAAGGTGTGCCGGTAGCTTATATTAGGGCGATAAAGGATTTGTATGATAGAGCTAAGACACGAGTTAGGACTGTGGGAGGTGACTCAGTGCCTTTTCTGGTGGTTGTGGGGTTACACCAAGGATCTACGCTAATCCCATTCTTATTTGCTCTGGTGATGGGCCCACTGACATACCATATTCAAGGGGAAGTGCCGTGGTGTATGTTGTTCGCTGATGATATAGTTCTGATCGATGAGACGAGAGACGTCGTTAATGAGAGACTGTAGGTATGGAGGCAGGCCCTAGAGTCTAAAGGTTTTAAGTTGAGCAGGACCAAGACATAATATTTGGAGTGTAAGTTCAGCGATATATCGGGGGAAGCAGACGTGGAAGTGACACTTGACTCGCAAGTAATCCCTAAGAGAGAGAGAGAGTTTCAGGTACCTAGGGTCAATTATCCAGGGAGATGGGGAGATCGACGGAAATGTCACGCACCTTATCGGGGAGGGGTGGATGAAATGAAGGTTAGCGTCTGGAGTCATGTATGACAAGAAGGTGCCACTGAAACTTAAGGCAAGTTTTATAGAGTGTATGGGTCTAAGTGTTGACCGGTCAAGAGTTCTCATATCCAAATGATGAAAGTAGCCGAAATGAGGATGTTGAGATGGATGTGCGGGCACACTGGATTAGATAAGATTACGAATGAAGATATTCGGGAGTGGGTGGGCGTGACTCCTATGGACGACAAGATGCGGGAAGCGATGCATAGATGGTTCAGGCACGTGCGGAGGAGGAGCCTAGATGCCCCGGTTAGGAGGTGTGAACGGTTAGCTTTGACAGGTACGAGAAGAGGTAGAGGGCGACGTAAGAAGTATTGGGGCAAGGTGATCAGGTAGGACATGGCGCGACTTCAGATTTCTGAGGACATGGCCGTGGATATGGAGGTGTGGAGGTCGAGCATTAGGGTTGTAGGTTAAGAGGTAGTTCATCGTTTTTCCTCGTTGTTCCAGCTAGTCTGATAGTGTTTTATCTAAGACCGCTAACTGTTTTCATTCATCACACTATTTTTATTTTTAATTTTTTCAATGTTATTATTAGCATAATTATTGTTCTTCCACTTATTTGTTGTCTCTTACGATGCTAATACTATTTGTCTGTTTCTGTTGTTGTTACAGATCTTTTGTCTCTGAGCCGAGGGTCTATCAAAAACAGCCTCTCTAATCTGAAGAGGTAGGGGTAAGGTCTGCATACACTCTACCCTCTCCAAATCCTACTAGTGGGATGATTATTGGGTTGATGTTGTTGTTGTATTTTGTTGAAATGAAAGAAAATATTTTTTTTACATCATGAACAGAAAGTACTTTTTTTGTTGAAATGAAAGAAGATATATTTTACTACATTATTTTGTTTAAATGAAAGAAAATACTCATTTTGTTGAAATGAGAGAAAATACGCTTTCTACAACATAAAACTTTTTTTTTGTTGAAATAAAAAACGATACTTTTTACTATATTATGAGAAGAAAGTATTTTTTTGTTGAAATGACAAAAGATATATTTTACTACATTATTTTGTTAAAATAAAAGAAAATATTTTTCCTAAATAATGAGAAGAAAGTACTTAATATTTTTTCTACATCATGAAAAGAAAGTTTGTTTTTTGGTTGAAATGAAAGACGATACTTTTTACTACGTTATTTTATTGAAATAAAAGAAAATATTTTTTTTACATCATGAAAAAAATACTTTTTTTGTTGAAATGAAAAAAAATATTTTTTTATATCATGAAGAAAAAATACTCATTTTTTTAAAATGAAATAAGAAAGTACTTTATTTACAACATGAAAAGAAAGTATTCGTAATAATATTTCTATTTAGGGTGGGGTAGGGCAGGGATGATGATGGATGGGTGTGGTGGTGGTGGGTGGGTTAGGGATGGGGTGAGTAGGTTAGGAGGTGAGATAAGTTTGGGGAGGTGGATGAGGATGAAGAAGAATTTTGAATTTTTTTTTTTCCTTCTCTTGACAGGGAAAATATTTTCGTCCAATTAGAGAAAAATGAGTTCATGAGAAATCTAATAAGAAAAAATTAAAAAATATTTTTCGGAATATGTTTTCTTCAAACCAAACACACCCGTACTTTATGAAGTTTAGAAAGATCTCGAGGTATTGTGCATAATAGTACTGTGTGTTATAATACGTTACACTTCCATTGAATTATTGGTAGTGAAAAGAAATATAAACTGTGTACTTCAATCCATTGTAGACAAGAGAAGAGTAAAGAGAGAGAAGACATATACAGTACACATACTTCAAAGGAGTATATTGCCTCTCCCCACTTCCTTTTGCTGTCACTTTTCAGCATCATTCATTACCTCAAAATTTCCGACCTCAGCTATTTCTACCATTATACATGCCTTATAAATACATATTTTGAACGTATATACTCTTTTTTGGAGTTACTAAGTACTGTATTTTTCATAAAAAGAGTTTGTGATATTAGGTACTATGACTGAATGAGGTTCAAATGCACATTTGGTGGGCATTTTCTGCTGAATTATGAGAAAAAGTTTATGGGTTTTGTACTTGGGGTTTTCTTGAGTTGAATTCTGGTGGTTTAAAGCTTGTAACTTGGATCTTTCTTGTGTAAATATTGGATTTTTATTCAAGATTTTAAGTTGGTATTTGATGAAGCTGAAAGCTTTTGTGCTTTGTAGTGAAACAGGTTTTGGTTGATATTTCTCTTGAATATTTGAGGTTGATGAGTAATTGTTTGCTGTAATTCACTAGCATTGATCATGGGATAAAGTTGAAGCTATTTTTGGAGCTGTTTTGAGTGCAAGAATTTTCTTTATTGGTGTTGTAGATTTAGCTGTGTCTTAGGTTCATTTCTGTAGTGGTTTCAAACAAAAGGGTTGAAGCTGCAAAAATGAGGCTTTCTTCTGCTGGTTCCAATCAGCAGTCTCCTGAAGGTAAAGTTGTCTTTTTCAATCTTGAAGAGAATGTTGCAATATCATTTTTCTACCGCTATTGCTATTGCTGTTGCTTTCTTCCATCTATTTTTCCGATTGATATCATTTTTCTGGCCTTTGTTGGTGATATTTGCTTGTTTCTATTCTTCCTCTCAAGCTGAGGTTATTCGGAAACAGCCTCTCTACTTTCCCACTTTCCCAGGGTAGGTGTAAAGTCTGTGTAACCCTCCCAGGATCCCACTTGTGGGATTTCGCTGGTTTGTTGTTGTTGTCAGAGAATGTTGCAATATTTGTTACTTCCTTTAGAAACTTAGTTATCTTCTTCTTCAAGAACTTGTCTGTTTAAGCATAATTGAGATGTCATAAATCTTTCTCCTTTTTTCTTTTATTCTTGCTTTAATTTTCTTTCTACTGTCCCTTCCTCTATTTATTTTAATTCTAATGTTTCTTCATATTCATTTCTTTTATCTACAAGTTGGTTTCAGTTTGAGATCAGTCTACAGAATTGCTGTAAAGATGTTCACCCTTGCTCTTTCAATTTTATATTGATTTTTTACCATACCCTTTTCTCTTATGGATCACCTGGTTCTTATTACCATGAGTGAGTTTTTTTATAGCTTTGAGCTTGGTATGCTTAACATCTATGTTACTCGGATTTTCCGTAAATGTTGACGGGAAAATAGTGTATTTTTGGAGGATCTAACACGGGGGTGGCATTATTTTGGAGAGTCAACATAGCTTAATATTCTTTTTGCCTACCTTTCTATAACCGGAATCTTTTGAACTTAAGACTACAACTGCGCCTCAATTCCGAGCAAGTTGGGGTCGGCTATATGAATCAATCTTTTGAACTAAAGATTCTTCTTTTAAAAATGTTTGGAAATACTTTCTTGATCTTCAATCTCTCTATAAGAGGAAGATGAGAAGTTTGCTGATCTAGATCTTGAAGAAATTATGTTCTGAATGTAATTTGAATTGCAGGGGAGAATAAATGTTTGAATTCTGAGCTTTGGCATGCATGCGCGGGACCTCTTGTTTCCCTACCAGCTGTTGGAAGCAGGGTGGTGTATTTCCCACAAGGGCATAGTGAGCAGGTCTATTTCTATCATCCTAAATTTCTTTTCTGGTGTTTATGAGCATTTATAACTCCCAATACATTCCTAGAGTCTTTCTAGGATGGGGGCAATGCTCTATTTTGAGATGATCCGCAAGCGGAACGAGCATTTTCTACTAATATGAACCAATTTCATTTGAAACTTAAAGGCCGTCTTCTTGTTTTTGTTATTGTTGTTTTTCTTTAAAGTTTTAGTTTTTTCTGAAGCAAGAAGTAGAATGTTGATAATGGCTTGATATTTTGATTCTGCATTTTAAAGAAGGAATCAACTGTTAGCTTTTCTAAGACATTGGATTGCATAAATTTATGAACTAATATAATAATAAAGTGGAAATCCTTACTTAGAATGATCTACTTTGCAGGTTACTGCATCAACAAACAAGGAAGCTGAGGCTCATATTCCGAATTACCCAAGCCTGGCCCCACAACTTATTTGCCAGCTTCACAATGTTACCATGCACGTAAGTTGCCTGTTTTTGTCGTTGCCTAATCACTTATTAAAAGCAAATCTCTGAGTTTTAATTGTATTAGTGCTCATTTAAAGAATTTAATTCTGATACAATTCAGGCTGATATGGAGACTGATGAGGTTTACGCTCAAATGACCTTGCAACCGTTGAGTCCTGTACGTAAACTCTGTAATAGAAAATTGTCTTTGAATTTCTAGTTTCTGTCTGCGTCCTGATTTTTGGAATGTCATTATTTTCCTTCACTGCAGGAAGAGCAAAAGGAGGCATCTTTCCTTCCTTTAGATTTGGGTATCCCTAGTAAACAGCCAACAAATTACTTCTGTAAAACATTAACAGCAAGTGACACAAGTACTCATGGTGGATTTTCAGTACCTCGCCGTGCAGCAGAGAAAGTTTTTCCTCCATTGGTAACAACGCATTCTTAGTTTCTGTGACATCAGATGATGAATTACCAAGGTCATTTTTTTAAACCTTTTGAAGCGTCTATTGATGCAATGACTTCAATATTCAGGACTTCTCTCAGCAGCCTCCAGTACAAGAGTTGATCGCTAGGGATCTCCATGACAATGAGTGGAAATTTAGACATATTTTCAGGGGTGAGTTCTTGATATAAGTGTCATTCTTCTAAGATACTACCTTAGCCAAAATATACATTTTGTTCGCTGAGCAATAGTAAATTTGGCAAAGCTTCCTTCTCATAGATACTTGTTGCTTTTGTTCTTGTGACAGGTCAGCCGAAGAGGCATCTTCTTACAACTGGTTGGAGTGTGTTTGTAAGTGCAAAAAGACTTGTTGCTGGTGATTCAATCATTTTCATCTGGTAGGCTGTCAGGAAAAGATCGCATGTTCTCTTTCTTTTGCTTTTAACAGCACTTTGACATAAGTGGTCCAAACTTTGCAACTTGCACAATAATGCTCAAGATTACTGAGCCTTTTGAACGGATTTGTGGTTCTCCAAATAGATACTGGTGAATTTAGTTTCAAATCCTTGAGTTAATCAAATTCCTCAGTGAACTATATATAAGATTTCTACTGTTGTCACACATGTTAATTGCCAATTAAGTGAAGATTTCTACTTTGTCGCACATGTTAAACAGCCAATTAAGTGTTAAGGTCAATGATTTTTCGCTCAGTGAAATTACTTTTTGTTTTATTTTCTTGGCTCCAGGGTCACTTTATCATTTCTAAATTAGACCAGTTGTGTATAGCGTAGACAATATTTTAAATTGCCATGCTTTCTTTCTTTTTTTGTAGGAATGAGAAGAATCAATTATTTCTTGGTATTCGACGTGCCAATCGGTCCCAAACTGTGATGCCGTCTTCAGTTTTATCAAGTGATAGCATGCATTTGGGTCTTTTGGCTGCTGCAGCTCATGCAGCAGCAACTAATAGCAGATTCACCATTTTTTATAATCCAAGGTTTGTTCCTTTGTAGAATGATCAACCTATTAGGCTATTACTCACATAGTAGTTATATTCTAACTTTTGGTTGGCATGCATTGATTTAGGTCTTGTCCTTCAGACTTTGTTGTACCTCTTGCCAAGTATGTCAAAGCAGTATATCATACTCGCATTTCTGTAGGCATGCGCTTCAGAATGTTATTTGAAACTGAAGAATCTAGTGTTCGTCGGTAGGTTATCGCCCTTATTTTATTTGTGGTTCATATTCTTGGTACTTGCAAGGATGCCTTAACACTGAGTTAAAAGTTGTTGGAACTCAAGTTAGACATCTGAGTATTCACCTTGTATTTCAGTTACATGGGCACTATAACTGGCATAGGTGATTTGGATCCTGTTCGTTGGCCAAACTCACATTGGCGTTCAGTTAAGGTATGCTAATCATTGCTTAAATCATGCATCTTCAAAATACTAATATCTATTGCAATGTGTTAATGCCTTATTTACTTGTTATTGTTATTGCTTTTCATCTATTTTCTGGTTCTTATGTCGTCATTATTTCTATGATTTCTATTGATGGTACTGATGTATTTGTCTCTTTTCGTCTTCTTGAATCGAGGGTCTTTCGGAAACAGCCTCTCTACTCCCTCGGGGTAGGGGTAAGGTCTGCGTACTCACTACCCTCCCCAGACCCCATTTGTGGGATTCTACTGGGTTGTTGTTGTTGTTGTTATTGCGATGTGTTAATGAAGCTTGAATCTGTTCATTCAGGTTGGCTGGGACGAGTCTACAGCTGGGGAAAGGCAACCAAGAGTCTCCCTATGGGAAGTCGAACCTTTAACAACATTCCCTATGTATCCATCCCCCTTTCCTCTGAGACTCAAGCGATCATGGCCACCTGGATTCCCGGCATTAAGTGGTACTAGGATTCGGCCCCTCTCTCCATCACATTGTTTTATCTGTCTGAAGCTTCGGGTAACGTTGAGAGAATTGTGTGAACTTGATCTAATTGTGTTTCAATGTTTTGTATTTTCGCATGAAGGGATGAAGGATGATGACATGGTAATGAATCCTATGATGTGGCTCCGTGATGTTGGAGATGGTGGAACCCAATCTATCAATTTTCAGGGAATTGGAGTCACACCTTGGATGCAACCCAGAATTGACGTCCCAATAGGTGGAATGCAAATGGATATTTATCAAGCTATGGCTGCCGGTGCCCTTCAAGATTTGAGGTCTGTGGATCCCTCTAAACAGGCTCTCACTTCGCTTCTGCAACTTCAGCAATCCAATGGTGTCACCAACAGCACTTCCGGACTACTATATCCACAGTTATTTCAACAGTCTCAAGGCCAAACAGCGTTTCTGCCGAGCATGGCACAGGGCCAGTCTCAAGTGCAACCTGTATCCCAGCCTCATATTTTTCAGCAACAAATGCTGCATCAAAATTCATCCACCACTATCCATCAGCAGCAACAGCAATCTCCTCTGGAGCAGCGGCCTCCTCCGCAGCAACAGCAAGCAATTAGACAGCTGGACTCGAGCTCTCAATCACAACAGACATCATTGCAAGCATTCTGTTCTACGCAACAAGAAAGCTTCACCGACACAAATGTGAATCATTCTACCAACTCAATTGTTAATCCACTGCACAGCCTATCGGGTGCAGTTACCAGGGATGAACCATCCCAGCTTGTCAGTGTTCCTAGATCGAGCTCCTTACTATCTCCTACCGGATGGCCACCAAAGAGGGTGGCTGTCGATCCTGTCCTTCCTTCTGCATCTTCACAGCGTATGTCACCCTTCATTGATCAGCCGGGAACACCCAACAAAAACGTATCTCAAAATGCTCTTTCTTTGCCAACGTTCCCAGGTAGGGACTGCCCCGTAGGTCAAGAAGGGAACAATGATCTCCACAATCATCTTTTGTTTGGGTTCAATATAGATTCCCCATCTCTTATGCAGAGCGATATGCGAAGCCTCAGGGGAGTTGGTAGCGATTGTGAGTCAGCAAATGTGCCCTTTGCTTCTTCCAACTACCTAAGTAATGCGGGCAATGATTTTGCTCAAAATCCAGTTATGGCACTCTCTGGTTGCATTAATGTACCAGGTTTCACACAGACTTCTGAAAATGCGGGACAAGAAAGCCCACATAACACCTTTGTTAAGGTAATTTGCCTTCGTGTAAATACTAGCAACTTTTTTATTTGTCTTATGGGGAAACATACCCTGGCCAAGCACCCCATGACTCCTTGCATTTTTGTTTCATTTCCCGGGGGTTGGGGCATGGGGTCGCTGGTGAATGATATGTAGATTCCCCTTTTATCAATATAATTATGTCACGATTTCCAGGATAAATTCCATGAGAGGTAGCAAACTTTATTTTTCTAATATAGCCAAATTACATTTTATGGAGATGAGGAATCACATGGATAAATTTCGGAGGGGGAGGTGGGGACACAGAGGATAAAGGTGATAGCCTTCTGGAGATGATGTGGAAAGGGGACACAGAAACATGCTTTTGTTTTGTTTAACTTTTGCTTACTTTGTTCGTAATCTCGTTTGTCTATTATGCAGGTCTATAAATCAGGGTCCTTCGGAAGGTCATTAGACATCACCAAGTTTAGCAGCTATCATGAGCTGCGAAGTGAGCTTGCACGGATGTTTGGCCTTGAAGGCCTACTGGAGGATCCTTTGAGATCAGGCTGGCAGCTTGTATTTGTTGACAGGGAGAATGATGTGCTTCTCCTTGGCGACGATCCCTGGCCGTGAGTTCTCATCCTTGCTACTCTTTTTAAGAACCTTTTCTTTGCTCGACCAGTGCTCATGTGTACTTTCAACCATAGCTAAACACAGGCACTTCACAAACAACTACTCCCTCTGTCCCAATTTATGTGTCAATACTTTCCTTTTAAGTCTGTCCCAAAAAGAATGTCATAAACTTACTACTTTACCTTTAATGAGATAATTTATAGCCATACGGCTTGTTTTCGACGACATGTTTCAAGTTTCCTTTCTTTCTTAAATTCCGTGCCAAGTCAAACATCGCCACTTAAATTGGCACAAAGGGAGTAAGAATAACTAGTTGAATCAAGAAGGCATAGTGACTTCAACATTCATTTTGTTTTCGCAAGTTTGTCTGATTTTTGAGTAACTCTGCTATTCCCACCCGCCTAGTGCGTAAAAAAGTAATTTTGCCAAGATTCAAGGCTTGCTCTAACTGATGTGCATTATATTTCCTTGCCTTTCAGGGAGTTCGTCAACAGCGTATGGTGTATTAAAATACTCTCGCCTCACGACGTGCAGCAGATGGGAAAACAAGGTCTCGAGCTTTTGAACTCAGTATCCATGTCTAAGTCATCAAACAATAGCTGTGATGACTTTGCAAATCGCTCAGAATCTAGGAATATGGCCTCTGGCATCATGTCTGTTGCTACTCTCGACTATTAGATATCTCTTCTCCTGTCAGGGTATTTTGCTCCTTTTGTAATACTGGCATTTCTTCAAACTTTTACCTAATGAGAAGAAATGCCTGATTAATTTTACCTTATAACTTTTGCTAGAAAGTTGTTTATTGTAGTTATTGTAACTATCTTTCAATTTCTATTTTCGAAGTCCTTAAATGTATACAAAACTGAAAATTTAGTAGGTAATTTTAAGCTGTAAAACAGCTGTGACGAATCCTTGAGTTAGCTATAAGGTAAACTCTACAAATTTGTGTACTCTGAAGGTTAATTCTGCATAAGCACCGTTTATTTATGGAAAATACTTCTCTGAGCTTAGTTTGGTTTGAAACAAAATTAGCAGAGAACTTCTCTATGAAGGACGTTATCTTGTTTGGATTGTTGTTACATGTCGTTTCATAATTTATTGTATTGTATTGTACTGCATTGTTTGGTGAGTACAACATTTGGATAGATGTTGTCGTTTGCTGTCGTTTCATGATGTCATGCACCAACAATTTGAAGAATAAAATTGCAATATTACTATGAAAAAAAGGATACGGAGTAGAATTATTATACAAAAGAATAGGGTAAAAGATAAAATATGTTATTTAATAATAATGAAGGACAAGATGAGAGAAAAAAGTAAGGTATCGATGCCACCACACCAAATTTGTTGTTCCATAAAGTGATTCTTCTCGTCGTTACATAACGATAGATTTAACGATACGATACAATAATGTGCGCGCATGCATTTGGTTTTTCGTGTTGATTTTTGCATTATTCAGTTTTGGCTTTTCGATTTACAAAATTGCCATCCAATTCAAACCAAAAAAAATCGTTTTATTTTTATTTTTCGATAAGTTAATATAAATTTAATATGATCGAACAATTATACTTATGATTAAGTATAAAAATTGAGAGGTAGTATGCTTAAATTTTTTTATATTCAATTCACATGATTAAAATAATGAACGCCATTAATAAGATAGTAAAACATGCTTGATGAGATAGTTAAATAGTCATGGTCTCCTATAAAAGCATAAGAACAAGCACACTAGGATAAGCTTGCACACCTAAATCCTAATATTATTTAATGCTAGTTGATTCCTTTACTAACCATACCAAGAACCAAATATTTTTTACATAAAAATAATATATATAATTCGGTTTTTATTTTTTTAAACCAAAAACCAAAGTTTAAAATCATTCATCCAACATTAAACGAAAAAACCGCAAACTCAAACCACATAAAAATAAATGTTTTTTTAATTTAATCTAGATATGGACCCTTATTAATAAGTAGCAAATGACGTAGTGGTGAGATTAATGTTTTGTTGGATCAAAATGGACTAAAATATTAGCCCGAATGTTCTGATCTGACGGCGTTGTGCATGATAGTGGCGTACACAAGAATTTTTATAAGTTGTATCGATATTTAAAAAAGTGAACAAATGAATAAATTACGGTAACGACAAGTGGTGATATTGTTTATATTTATATCGAATATTTTAATTTTATTTTTATTTATACATACATAAAAATTTCGACAAAGCGGTGTCATATGACACCATTTCAACCAAGGTGCCTACGCCCCTTGGTGCATGATCGCGTGGAATAGTCACACGTCATGGTTTTAAATTCAGTAGCAGGCAAAAGTTTAGTATTTAAATGAAGAAAGGTAGAGGGACGAGCCAATTATTTATGAAGTTTCAAACTGTGTGTCATTAAACCTCAGAGATTTTTCGATAATTTAAAAACTTACATAATTTTTTTCCAGCCCGTCTAAGTCTTGATCGATAAAATTATACGAAACATATATTATAGAAGATACAAGGTATTCGATAATACCTTACTTGTTGTCAGTCATGTTATTTCGTATTCCCCGATTTATGTTATTACTTGTTGCTTTCATTTCGGTTTTCTGATCGTATTACTTAGTGTTAGTCTGATATTTTTGCTTCGTCTTTCCTATTGGTTTACTTGTTGTTGTCTCTTCATTTTATCTTTCATGAGCCGCGGGTCTACCAGAAGATACGAGTAAAGTTTTCGTACACATTATCCTCCTTAGACCTCACTTGTAAAATTAGACTGAATGTGTTGTTAATGCACTAAGGCATTCGATGGTATCGCCAATGTGCACACAAACTGATTGGAGCATCATTATTATCATAAGAAAAGGTTACCTGCGCTGGATATGCACAAAGAGGTGGGGTAGTAGAAACATGGAAAATAGTGTGTGTGGGGGACTTAGACCCAAGGACAAAGGAGGATGGGAAGTATCATCCTATATATATGAAATAAAGGCACCGATTGAAGCTTAGAAGTTGGTACTCACAACCCTATTATGGGTGGTGGGACTATATACAGTGAAGTTCTTTTCTTAGAAAAGGTTAAACTCTGCTCATGCATGTTTTAAGCTCCATTTCCTCTCCTTCTCCACTCATATTATTTGCTTTTCCTTTGGCTTTGATGTTACGGAACCACGATTTTATCATACTTTATATCACTATTGATATCACTTAATTATACTGTTAATTATTCACAAGCTATATCTGGTTTGTATGTTGTTATGCTTGTTCATTTGTTCACCAAACTCTATTAGGTTAGCGTAACTTTGTGTTATCTGCAATCTACCCATATGTTAAATTATTCATCAAAGTCCATTTGATTGGCAAAATTTTCTTGTGTTGTTCAAAAAAATATTTTTTGAATTTGCAATTCTAATTTTGATCAAACCACCCAAAATCTAATCCAAATAATCTTGATTTTGAAACAAAGCATCCAAGTACCAACACAAACGATCCCCAATCACCAATTTAGAAATAACTCCAAATCAAGAACAACCACTTTGTCTTCTTCAATAATTATAATATCTAAGGACCAATAATAGAGTTTTGAGATTTTTAAAATAAATTATTAAATTAGTATTTAAACTAAAAGTTTAAGCATAAATAATCAACATTCGAACGATTTTACATGAGTAGTTAATCATTGACTTCGAATTTGAAACCCAAACAAGAATTTTAAGCTTCCAAAATTGAAGAATTATAATTTTCTTAGTGAGAAGAAAAGATGGAGAAGAAGGAGGGGCAAAGAGACGTACACTTATTAATACCGCTAATTACGATATTCACCTTAGAACAATATCATTGAAGACCTGCCACACAATTATTTGAAAAGGACTGCTATGCGGAGTGCAGGTAACTAAACAATTCCCCAAGGTCTAGTAAATTAAGTTGGTACTACGAACAAGCTTAATTCACTCTGGGATTAATAGTTCCCTTTGCTCTATAATGGAATAATAATACTTCTTTTATCAAACATGAGAACAGTAAAACTAAATAACTTAGACATTATATATAGAGAAATTTTCATAAAGCACTATCTTTTAGTGGTAATTAGTTAACTATAGATACCATTTGCTATATTACGGATTGTAGATATATTTTCTGTTGTTATAAGATGTATTAGATGTATTTAAACTATTGTATTCATGAATACAGTAGCAAAAATAGGCGTGAATCAGGAAAGTCCAGCTAATCAGTTGTTGTATTCGAGTATATTCGACTGTATTCATGGCGTGAAACATGGGATTACAGCTGGACAGATTATTGTATTCAAGTATATTCGACTGTATTCGTGGCGTAAACATGGGAATACACTGTTTTTAAACGAAAAGTGAATCAATTAACATAATAGACTCCTAATATAACTCAACAAACTCAATTATAACACACAAATTTTGTATTTCCAGTTATAAAAAGATTCTCAATCGAAAAACACCCCAAAAACATAGCAATCTTCAGAGAAATTATATAATACATCTGAATACATAAATTATATTAATTAAAAAAAACATATGAATACATTCATAGAATATAGCGAGACAGTAAATACAATGAAATAAATAGAATACATCAGGATATATTAAAATACAATGAAAAAAATAATGAATACAATGTAATACATAGAAAATAGCGAGATACATTGAAATACAATGAAAAAAACGACAATGAATGCAATGAAATATATGGAAATACAGCGAGATACATTGAAATACATTGAAAAATATTAACAGAAAATTCAAGTTGCTCAGCCCCCAACTCCGTCGTTTTTGTTTAAGAACAACCCTAATATCGTCTCGTTGAAGCAGCATCAGTATCCAGTAACTAATCCTTACAATTATTGGATTTCGGAAGTATGTGTCGACCCTTGGTTTCGGAAGCATCGAATTACCTTTCTTTCTTGTACTGAGATGGAGTTTCAACACTTGGTTTCGTTCTTGCTATTCATCTCCTTCATCTTTCCTCACTTTTGATTATTAGAATGGAGGAAATCTAGGGGACTAGCCACTTCTCAGTTGGCAGCTTTTTCGAATTACTTTTCTTTTACTTTTGAGGGATATTAGAAATTTGAGGGGAGAGAGAAAAATAATACAAAGCTTATTTTATGGCTTAATGGTAGGAAGTGACCATAAATAGATATTTGACTATAAGGAAAAACTATGGAATATAATTTTTTAAAAGGATATTTATTTAAAATAAATAAGGTATCTACCTTTGCTATAGGAGGTAACTAATCCTTATATATACGCGTTCTTATCTTACCATAGGGTTTTATATGTCAAGAGTATATATAACGAGTAGATTAAGAATCAGATTGAGATGATGAATCATACCAAGCAATGCGAGAGAATAAGAACAAGTGTTATTGTGTAATAGCTAGCGAAGGAGATTACAAAAATAATCTTCCCTGAAATCTTTATATAATAGCCGATCGGATTTACTGTTTACTTTTCTTAGTCGGTATACATAGATTATACATAAATAATGCACGGTTATACACATAATATACATAATTATTCATACAGTATACATTTTCAACTTTTTAGTTTAAACGATTGGATGGACAATTATTTAGGTTGATTCTTCAAATACAATTATGTTAATAATACTCCCTTTTGTTTCACTTAATATATGACACGATTATTATTCTTGGAGTGAAACAACTTTTTTACAACAAAATTTCATATATTTCTTGTTATTTTAGGATACACCTAGACACAAGAAGGAGGGTTGAATTATGTCTAGCCCGCTTTTCACATTTTCGAAGAAGCTGGTTTTTTGAACAATCCAAACAAACACAAACAGAAATACTTGCAAAAAATTAATCAACACAGAGATTTTTATGTGAAAAACCTCCTTGCTCAAGGGAGTAAAAACCATGACTTACCTAGTGAATTTTCCTCAAATCTCCACTAAACTTCAAAGAGAAGTTT